TAAACCATAAACAAAATAAAGTAAAATTCTAAGCAGATAGTACATTTTTCCAAACCAATAGGACCTATAGAAATGCAGCAGAGGGAATATTTTATAGAATTCATAAATGATGATATAATTACCCACAAACACAAATAAATGGGAGTCAAGCTATTATTGGGAAATAAAAGTAAATAAAAAACAACATGAAGTAAAATTCTAAGTAGATAGTATTCTATCAAAAAGTAGCCAAAAGATAAAAATTGGCCTAAATTGAAAATAAGACGGCCTGAATTTGTCTATCATAACAAGGAACCATAAAAATGTAACTCACTGACACACTGGATTTTTTTGTTACATAATCAAATTTAAAAATGATGAAATCGACTGATGAATTTTAAAAACCAGTAAAAATATAGTTACTCAAAAGAAATTAAATTTTAGATATACTTATAAGTTATGATGCCATTGTTGGTAAAATTCATCAAAAAGATAAATGTACTGCCCTGGAATTGGATCTTCTTGTATCAAATGTTGTAGAAAATCTGTAATAAAAGAAATAAATATTATATTTCATTATAATTTATATCAACCTATTTTACAAAATGCAAGGTGTTTATTAAATATATTTAATTAAAAAAATATTATAGTACTACTATAGTGTTACTTAGTAGTTACTTAGTAACTTACCTAAAATTGTTTAGTTCCTCTTCAATGATGAATTTCTTCATCCTTATTCCACTGTTGAATATTCAATTTAATCTTTCTAATGGCATCTTGAAGAGGGTGGTTGAATTGAACTACAGTTGTCCCAAAAATTCTTGTTCCAAAGCAGTACAATATCCCATTCAAAAACTCAATTTTAAAAAGAATTAGAAACGGAATGAAAAAAAAACAATTCAAAAATTAACTGAAAACTATACAACTCCATGTAAGCATCAATAGAAACGAAATCAAAGACTTGAAAGTCTTAGAAAATAGAGTAAAATAAATAATAATAAACATAAAAGATATTTAGAGAATATAGAAGAAAAATAATAAGGAGAAAACCCATTAGGCTTGTTTGATTGCATCATATCTCCTGAAGAAAAGTGAAAATTGGTGAAATGTGTCTTACGGTCCCAAGATCCTAAGATTGTTTGACTGCCAGAATTTGCTAGTTCATTTAGCGTTATCCAGGGTGCACCACGAGGAGGCGAACTAGCTTTGCACCCCTCCAGAATGAAGACAATATGAAAGAAAAATAACTAGACAAACAATGAAATAGAGATATGATGCAATGAAAAAACTGGCATGAAAATAAAAACATAATTCTATACAGGTCATAGAAGTGACGAATTATGTCTTTAGAAGAGTCTCAGAAGAATGACAAAATGTATACAAATATATATAATAAACTTAGAGAAAAACAATCAATGGTAGCGTTTATAGAATTGATGAATGATTCATTCCTGTAACGAAGAATATAAGAAAAAGAAATTGCGCAAGAAAATGATGAATTAAAAAAATTGCATGAAAACGAATAAAAATATTTAATTTAGGCAATACAAATGGTGAAATATAATGTCTTAGAAAATTTTGAGGATGACACAAAAAAATTATACAATTATATAAATAAGATAACCAATAGAAGAGTGATGAATAATGATATTTCAATAAGGAAGAAAAATATGAGTGAAAAATAATTAATGATTTGATGAATTGAAAAAAATGGCATGAAATTGAAGAAGGTAAGAAACTAAAAGAAAGATACAAATATACAAAATAAGATCATTGGAAGAGTATATATGGAAATGATGGGTGATATTCCAATAATAAAGAAAAATATGGCAGACAAAAATTGTATAACAGAGGTAGGCCAAAAGCAAGAGAAAAAATAAAGAGGTCAACAAAAACTGGAAAATTGATCAAAGATTATGCTTAGCCACCTCTAGAATATCTAGGATATTTAGTGAAAATTTGACATGAAGCACATAAGGAAAAATCCTCCAGAGCATATAAGTTCGCCCCCTTCATTAGATTTAACCCTTGGCCGACGATTAAGCCTCGCCAGTCAGTTCCCATCCCAGCTAAGCAGCCTCGTCTCGGGTCACCCTCGTCACCCATCGAGCGGACATCCACCAGGACCCCTACAGGCGGACCCCCTCATCATCTCCAATGTGTCCGATATCCTGCCCCCTCTACTGTCGAGACGTCACGGGATACGTGCACGAAGAAGTCTCGTAGCTTGGGTGCCAGGTCGTATCCGGCCGAAGCCTCTAGCGTTAGAACACCTAGCTCGTAAACCAGAGGGTGGTGACTCCCTTGGGTACCTATGCATGCTACATAGGTCATCGATGCCCGAACATCAGGGTTAGGGGGTGACCCGGGTCTCCTCCTCTTAGGGGAGGCCAGCTATGATGCTCTGGATTCGATGTTACTCAGGAAAATTCATTAGAAAAATACTAGAAAACCCAGTAGAAGACAGGGTTTGTGAATAAATGGCGAATGCGCCACGAATAGACTAGGAAATCATTTATTTATTGTAAGATTTTTAAGTGTATTATCTTGTGTTTAAATTATATTTAAACACCGGCCAACAGAGTTCGTAAAATTACAGAAATTCATGTCATATGATGTGAAAAAATGCCTTGAAAATGAATCCATCAAAAGTAAAATTCTATACAAGAAATTACACAAGCCAAAAAATATTAGAAGAATGACACCGACACCATCAAAAAAATAATTCTTATGGAAATAACGCCAATGAAATATTTTATAGAAACGATAAACGATGTTATTACTGCCACAATGAAGAAAAATGGAGTCAAGCTATTATAGAAAAATGAAAATAAACCATAAACAAAGTGAAGTAAAATTCTAAACAGATTGTATATTTTACCAAACAAATAGGACCTACAGAAATGCAGTCAAAGGAATATTTGGTAGAATTCATAAATGATATAATTCCCCACAAACACAAATAAATGGGAGCAAGTAATTATTGGGAAATAAAAGTAAATCAAAAACAACATATGAAGTAAAATCTAGTGTAAAAAAAGTGGCCAAAATCGCAACCAAAGATCGAAAATAGATGGTCTGAGTTCGTCTATGATAATAAGGTACCATAAATTGTAACTCATTGGAAATTTTTTCTTACTTACATTAAAAATATATGTATTTACCATTTACTTGATGCATTGTTGGAGATATTGATCAAAAGGATAAATGTACTGCCCTGGAACTGTATACACCCGTCGATTTCTTGAACAAAATCTATAAAAAAGAAATAAATAATATTACATTTTATGATTTATGCTATAATAATTGTGTTTTGTTTCATATTAATCTGTTTCATTTGGTTTATTCATTCATTCATCATATTAATAATTGCTTTTCGATAATAAAATATATAAACTTACTTTTAACCGGATAATATGAAATCAATCTTGTAAACTGAAGTAATAGCCAAACATCAGAATTATATATAAGGGGTGACCCAGGTCTCTGCTTTTAGGTGGTCTTTATGTCCTGGGTGTGTATTATTAATAACATACCTAAAAAAGAAAATTATAATTAAAGCATCATATTGAAACAATGAACAAATTTGACGAACATATTATATGTATAATATTAAAACTGAACGTTTCTTGAAAAACGTTTCTTTAATTGAAAAATATTATATTATAATTGTGGAGAATGAGGGGCACTTTTAGGTATACTAACACTAACTTATTCGAAAAGACGTAGAAAATACCTCAATTCCTGTACAAACAAACACCTAAAAAATTATCTTTAGGTTTAGGAATAAAAAAAAACCTTTAAACTCTAACAAAAAAAATGGCAGGAAAAATCAAATATTTCTAAATATGAAGCAATATTCTAGGTAATTATACTTTTATTGTATAATAGAGACATCAAGGAATGTATCTATATTTCCATATACTCGATTTTGAAAAAGAAAATTGGAAAAAATGTAAGCTTGTGATGATGTAATTGAAATATTTGAAAGTGAAAAAATCGATAAAAAAACAGGCAAAATATTGGTTACTTACATTTTCAGGAGATTAAACAGGCCTTAAGGAATAGAATAAACACAAATATAGTGTACATAAAATTCAATTTTTTTATCAAAAAATCAGAAAAATTTTAAGACCGACATAACGACTTGTTTTTAACAACGGAAAATGTCGCACGTCAGCGTTGTCATATTGAACACATGTAAAACAGAATGGTAATTTTTTGTTGTGTAAAAATCTAATACAGCGTCTAAAAGAAAATATATTATTTTATTTATTCTACCGAAACAAAGTTTGTATTATATGTTTGTTAGATTTATCTTGATTTTGGACCGGTTCAATTTTTTTTAGACCTACAAAAATAATTGATTTAGATTAGTTTCAGGATTTCGCTAATAGCTTGGCAACCTTGGAAACAGTTTAGTACAAAATTTTCTCACTTTTTCCACAATGGCGCCACCAGCATTCTTCTTCTTTTTCGTTTTTCAGGCATTAAAAGAACGGAACCACAGAATAAAAAGCTTTTTTAATTATGGTTCGAAACATGGGTAGCCACAGATTTGATATAGAATTATGCTCAAATTATAATCTGTGGATAATTATTAAACAAAAACAACATTATAAAGAAACAAGAACAGCAAAAGTTTAAAAATAATAAATAATATTAAAAATTGGACAGAGAACTGGAGAACGTGTATGTGTTTTGTGTGGAGAACACTAATCAAAGTACAGTAAAAAATGTATCAATTAATTTTTAAGAAACAAAAATGACAATTTTTAATTCTAATGTAAATTATAAATAAATGGATACTTACAACTCCAATTACAATCATAATACCTTAACTTCAGAATCTCCATTAAACCCTAAGATTAAAGCATAATGTTTCTGTAATTTTTGATCTCAAGGTAAATCTGAAAAATAGATTATGGTGTTTTATTTATTTAAAATTTCCTATCACAAAGTAATGTAACGATATTTTCTCCATATATCGAGTAAATTTATTGACAATACAATACATTGAATAAAAAAGAATAAATGTATATAATTAAAAAGGTATATAATTTAAAAATTGACATCTTAAAAACCTAACAGTAAGAATTTATGTAAGATATGGATAGATTTGTTGCATTTTTTGATGGAAGACTTACAGGTCTCCAATACCACCAATTGTATAATACTAAAAAATACATATTAAATCAAAATACTAAGTTACAAAGCAAAACTTACAGATATAGGTTGGCTTTAAAACAACAGATATCGGTTTACAGGTATTTTTGCATTCTTTGGATGGTTTTAGATTGATAGTTCTTTCTCCTGAACCCTGTATAATGAACACATAACTACATTCAGTGTTTGGCAGGTTATATGGTTCCGATTCTGGACTGTCTACTATTAAAAATCTTTCAACTGCTTGTCCAGACCTAAAAGAATGTTAGGAACCCTGTATATTATCAGTTTACAGTAAAAACTAAAAAAGATTAAAGTGTACCTTTCAGGAAGGAAATATGGCTTAGGAAATAATTTCCTTATAATTCTAGCGGCAGTCATTTTGTTAATTCTCCATTGGATATGAATGTTGGAAGACAAATCATGTTCATCAGTATCAAATAAAGATTTAAGATCTTTTACATTTTTATTTGATGTTTTCAGTCTTCTTGAATCAGAATTCAGTTCATTTGTAAAGTTACTATAAAGAATTTGAAGGTCCTTCCAGGATACAGCATTTTGTTTGCCCTAAAAATCATTAAAATACATAATTCAATATCAAAGTTGGTTAATTCAATAAACCTTTGCTATGAAAGGGGTCCCTTCCCCAATTTTAGTAAAACTATTCAGCTCTTCCAAACCTGTTAGATCAATAACCGAGTGAACATTTTCACAAGGCCAGCATTCCATATCATTAACATAAAAATATGGATTTTCAACCAAGCAACTTTCATCATACAAATCTACAATAAAAATCGGCATATTCGATATATTATGTTATACTTTACAATCACTATTACCTGTTAATGAAGGAAATAGCTTAATAAATGGCACAGATAATGTTCGAACAACTTTTAAAGCCGGATAAGTAAGGCCTTGCACATTTCTTAAAACTATACTGGAAGTTGGGGTGTGCACATGTAATAAAACATATAAAGAAAGACTAAAACACACAATTAATACTGTACAACATTTAAGAACGTTTCTTCGTAATTTTTGAGCAAGTTTCATAAGTTTGTTGCTTAATTTTGAGCCTTGTTCTTTCCTTGCAAATTCGTCAAAAGATTCTTTTAAAATATTGGTTACTTGTTCGTCATTTACACCCAGTTCTCTGGCTTTTTTCTTTATATTCTTCACATCTTGTTTGAATTGTTTTAAAAGGGATTCTTTTGACATGTTTATTTAAAATACATTTTCTTAAAAATAAGTTTATAACCTGAAATCAGAGAATGAAATTCAGGAAATCATAGAGATTAGGCAACTCAAAAAACATGAATTGACTAATTTTGAAAATATATAATTTGAGAAACATTTTCATTTAAAATTAGTAATATATAGATAATATCTATATATTAGCAATATATTATATTAAATTACCTAAAATATAATACGTAAAGTGAAGAATCTTTTACAACAATATAAATATACAGGTAGCATAAATAAATGCACGTAATTACACTGAGTGAGATAAAATATATACATACAATGAAAATAACTAAACAAAACATTCATTTACAAGTCAAAATTATCTATTTTACAACTAAAATTATAGTAATTTCACCATAAACAAGCTTATAATTGAGCCTGCTGCCAGACCTATACCCATAAACACAGTCATCATTGAAGATGTGGCTTCTTTTTCAAAATCATCAACTTTTCTGAAAAGTAAGTAAGTAATAAAGCATTACTAAATAAAGTAAGAACTGGTTTTTTATTACCTTGGTGCCAAAATAGCTGTAAGATTCGCTAAATAGCCGTTACTTAAGGCACACATGAACAAAATTAAGATATATTGGTAGTCCTTATTGAAAACAACAGCCCAATAACGTCCTGGATGGGCATTGCACAGCATCATCAATGGAATAAAAATAAACCTGGATAAACTCAATATAAGGAAAATACTTTATACTTTCGTTTTTTAGCTGAAAAAAATAAAAATTTTTAAAAAATTTTTCACTAACTTTAAAATTTAGGATATGTACTAAATAAAATGCTCTGGAATATAATTCGTAAACAGCCTCATAGATGGCACTAAATAAAAATTGATTCACTTTACCGAAATACTAAACTTCTAGATTATATCCTCACTTTCAAGATTTAAACTAAGTAAAATGCCTTTTCAAGTAATCTCCAATTATCTTGATAGATGGCGCTAAATACAAGGCCGGTTTACTTTACCGAAATACTAAAATTCTAAATGTAATTTTGTTTAAATTCAAATAATTTTCTTAACGCACAAAAAGAAATTGTACTTACTTTTTGGAATCTTCTGGCTATTAGACGGCCTAAATAGTCTCCTATACTGAACAGTAAGTACTCTATAGTAGGTACAAAGTATACATCTAAAATATGTTGTGTTAAAATCATTAAATTGAACCATTTACAGTGAAACTGTACCATTCCACCTATTTCCGTGACCCCAACGTGACCCTTTCCTTCAGAGTCAATAAGTACCGTTACGGCGGGATATACGGAAAGAGTTATGGCAAAAACTGAGAACATTGAGACACCATGAACCCATATTTTTCTTAGAATTCTATGTGAGATTTGTAATACTGTTGATGAGCTAGAAAAGTCCAATATGTTCAGAATCTTATCTTCTACATGATACTAAAAAAAAAACATTAGATCTGATATTTGGCACAGAACTTTTGAATTCACCCTAAAAAATACTGTTTTTATTAAAACTATGTAACATGTAGAATCGCAAATGCGATTGTAATGTTTCCAATTATAAAATAAACTAAAGCACTATGTGTGGAGGACGCTCCAATAGCTAGAGAAATTATTTCAGCTATTGCGGCAAAATTTAAAAAACAATCCCTGTATAATGAACACATAACTACATTCAGTGTTTGGCAGGTTATAATATGGCTCGGATTCCAGACCGTTTACTATTAAAAATCTTTCAATTGCTTGTCTAGACATAAGAGTAGTTTATACTATGTAACCTGTATATTATCAGTTTACTATAAAAACTAAAAAAGAATAAAGTGTACCTTTCAGGAAAAAATATGGCTTAGGAAATAATTTCCTTATAATTCTAGTGGCTTTAATTCTCCATTGGATATGAATGTTGGAAAACAAATCTTATTCATCAGTATCAAATAAAGATTTAAAATCTTTTGCGTTTTTATTTGATGTTTTCAGTCTTCTTAGATCAGAATTCAGTTCATTTGTAAAGTTACTATAAAGAATTTGAAGGTCCTTCCAGGATACTGCATTTTGTTTGCCCTAAAAATCATTAAAATCAAATCCATAATCAAAGTTGGTTAATTCAATAAACCTTTGCTATAAAAGGGGTCCCTTCCCCAATTTTAGTAAAACTATTTAGCTCTTCCAAACCTGTTAGATCGATAACTGAGTGAACATTTTCACAAGGCCAGCATTCCATATCATTAAGGTAAAAATATAGGTTTTCAACCAAGCAACTTTCATCATACAAATCTAGAATAAAAATCGGTGGTATTTTCAGTATATAATGTTGTACTTTACAATCACTTTTACCTGTTAATGAAGGAAATAGCTGGTTTAATAAATGGTATAGATAATCTCCGAATAACTTTTAAAGCTGGATAAGTAAGGCCTTGTACGTTTCTTAAAACTATACTGGAAGTGGGGGTGTGCACATGTAATAAAACATATAAAGAAAGATTAAAACACACAATTAATACTGTACAACATTTAAGAACATTTCTTCGTAATTTATGAGCAAGTTTCGTAATTTTGTTGCTTAATTTTGAGCCTTGTTCGTTCCTTGCAAATTCGTCAAAAGATTCCTTTAAAATATTGGTTAATTGTTCGTCATTTACACCCAGTTCTCTGTCTTTTTTCTTTATATTCTTCACATCTTGTTTGAATTGTTTTAAAAGGGATTCTTTTGACATGTTTACTTAAAATTCATTTTCTTAAAATAAAAATTATAATCCGAAACCCGAAATTCAGGATTCAGGAAATCATAGAGATTAGGCAACTCAAAAAACATGAATAGACAAAAAAATTCAAAATAGCAAAGAAAATATTTAATTTGAAAAATATTTTCCCCATTTAAATTTAGTAATATATTCATATATTAAATTACCTAAATTATGATACGTAAAGTGAAGAATCTTTTACAACGATATAAATATACAGGTACAACATTTAGCATAAATAAACGCACGTAATTACACTGTGAGTGAAATAAAATATATACAATGAAAATAACGAAACAAAATATTCATTTACAAGTCAAAATTATCTATTTTACAACTAAAGTTATAGTAATTTCACCATAAATAAGCTTATAATTGAGCCTGCTGCCAGACCTATACCCATAAACACAGTCATCATTGAGGATGCGACTTCTTTTTCAAAATCATCAACTTTTCTGAAAAGTAAGTAAGTAATAAAGTTTTACTAAAGTAATAACTCGTTTTTTTATTACCTTGGTGCCAAAATAGCTGTAAGATTCGCTAAATAGCCGTTACTTAAGGCACACATGAACAAAATTAAGATGTATTGGTAGTCCTTATCGAAAACAACAGCCCAATAACGTCGTGGATGGGCATTGCACAGCATCATCAATGGAATAAAAATAAATCTGGATAAACTGAGTATAAGGAAAATACTTTCGTTTTTTGGCTGAAAAAAATTAAATTTTTTAAAAAAATTTCACTGACTTTAAAATTTAGGACATGTACTAAATAAAATGCTCTGCAATATAATTCGTAAGCAGCCTCATAGATGGCACTAAATAAAAGTTGATTAATATTGTCGAAATACTGAATTTCTAAATTAATCCTAACTTTCAAGATTTAGACTAAATAAAATGTCTTTTCACGTAACCTCCAATTAAGTTGATAGATGGCGCTAAATACAAGGCGGTTTACTTTACCGAAATACTAAAATTCTAAATGTAATTTGTTTAAATTCAAATAATTTTCTTAACGGACAAAAAGAAATTGTAGAGACTTACTTTTTGGAATCTTCCGGCTATTAGACGGCCTAAATAGTCTCCTATACTGAACAGTAAATATGCTATAGTAGGTACAAAGTATACATCTAAAACATATTGTGTTAAAATCATTGAATTAACCATTTTAAACAGGGAACTGTACCGTTCCACCTATTTCCGTGACCTTTTCCTTCAGAGTCAATAAGTACCGTTACGGCAGGATATACGGAAAGAGTTATGGCAAAAACTGAGAACATTGAGACACCATGAACCCATATTTTTCTTAGAATTATTTTATGTGAGATGTCTAATACTGTAGATGAGCTAGAAAAGTCTGATATGTTCAGTATCTTATCTTCTACATGATACTAAAAAAAAAACAAAAAATTAGATCTGATATTTGGCACAGAACTTTTGAATTTACCTTAAAAAATACTGTTTTTATCAAAACTATGTAACATAGGATCGCAAATGCGATTGTAATGTTTCCAATTATAAAATAAACCAAAGCACTATGTGTGGAGGATGCTCCGATAGCTAGAGAAATTATCTCAGCTATTGCGGCAAAAATTCCACCTAAAGCTTGTCCTCCAATCGTCGCTGTGATATATATCGGAGAAAAATTTCCAACAACCCCAAAAAGACTACCAGACATTATTGCACTACAAACTAACAGATTTATTTTTTATTTACCAACCTTTATAAATAAAAATAATTATACTTACTGTTTAGTAATACCACAGTTAATAATGTTATCAGAAAAAACATGTACTGCCCTGAAATAATTCTGTTTCAAACATGTATGTCTTTATACAGTGTGTTACATGTTACATCGCCAACCTGAACAGATTATAGGAAATCCCATGTAAGTTTTAAAATGAATAAATAAAAACAAACCATTTGCTTAACAGAAAAGTTTATTTCTAAATTTTAAATGAGGAAATCTTATTTTTATGGATTAAGGAAATTTACATGGGATTTCCTATGCTCAGGTCGACGATGCAACACACTGTATATTAACTATCTCTGTGGTACTTACATTCATCTGTATCTATCAAAACAAAGACTAAAGTCTCTATCATAAACAGGAACATAAAAATTAGAGATCCTAGAATCCTTTTATTAAGAGAAACCCTAAAATATATCTATTAAAGTACTAAAAAGAGCTTATTACAGAACTTACCTGTGACTTATAGCTGTATTCAGAATTAAAAATAAAAGATTCGGTATAGCAGAAGCTGCATTAATGTATGATGTGAATTCAGCTTGCAATTGAGTTTTATTCGTAACTTCACTCGCTGTTGTAACATTGGTTCTATGAATATCTCTAAATTTATACATCCAATACTAAAAACCTTACTTCAGTAACAAAAAAAGTTAAAAAAAGTCAACCTACATCGTTTGCAGTGATATAGAAGTTCCATGGTAAAATTGTTACGATTCCTAAAAGATAAAATATAAAGTAAACTGTGTAAAACTTGTCTTTCGGTTCCAAAGGCTTATATAAAGGTATGTTGTCTCCTAGAGCTAAACTTTCAGGGTTCTCGTTATCTGAATCATCTTCTTGTAACAAAGGAACCGTGTTGATCGAAGAAGCCATGTTTTGGCCGTTATCTTACGAGAAATATCACGAAACTGAATGCGTTACTCTAAGGATATCATGTTTTATTCTTGTGTTTAGAAATTTTAAATAGGGTATGTCACAATAGTAAACATAATTAGCAAGAAAAATTGGATTTCTTCAAGGTTCCATATCCACTTGTTTTAAAAATCAGCTGATTGTCAAAGTCAAAAAACCACAGATTATTAGTATGCAGTTCTTGACACATCATAAAATTTCAAATTCAAAAACTTTTTTAAAAGATATTTATTACTTAAATTATATAGTTATTTAACTACAGAATTTTGCCTTTTTTAGTATTATCTGGGTTGATAAAATGTAGTTTAAAACAGAGTTAAAATATTCATAATTTTTCTTGTATATTTGGCATTTAACTTTGAATGTCAAAATCATATTTTGATGTCATCAGGACCGGGTTTGTTTACGTGTGCAGTGCAAGAACATCTTTAACATAAATTTATTTAAAAAACAGACTTATTTTTATAATATATTTATAATATAAAGCATTTCCAATTTACGGTAATTTTGGATCATTGGGTAATACCTCACCAGTCATAATAATTATAATTAAATTAAAAATAGACGTTTTGTTATTCTTTTAGGTGTTTCCAGGTCCCAAATTCTTATTAAGGAATGAAAATTTGAGGCAAAAAAGATGTCTTTTGTTATATATTTAAGCCGAAGACTGCGTACAGTTAGGCTAATAGCTTTTTTCATCCTTCTAGTGTTTATAATTTACTTATTAGCAAGCTATGATAAAGATTCTAGTAGTAGTTTTAATTCCCCATTATCAGCACAACTTAGACAAGTAAGTAACTTATATTTTAGTATTTTTGAAGTTTTACGTATCTACAAAACTCTGTTTTGGTTTGTAATAAGAAAGATGTTTTATGTAGGATAAGAAAGACAGAGAGGTACCTAAGCTGGTCTCAGGGCTGGGTAATTTCGAACCAGCTGAAATAGAGGACAGGGATGGTCCTGGAGAGAAAGGACAGCCCCATCATTTGAGGCAGGATCAGCAAAACGATGCTGACCAATCAGAATCAGACTATGGAATGAATGTTGCATGTTCAGATGAAATATCCTTAGACAGAACAATTTTAGACACTAGATTAGAAGAGTGTAAACACTGGAAGTATCCAACCAATTTACCAACGACCAGTGTGATAATAGTGTTTCATAATGAAGGTTGGTCAGTTTTGCTGAGGACAGTACACAGTGTTCTGAACCGCACACCGAGTTATATACTGAAGGAAATCTTGCTGGTGGATGATTTTTCTGACAAAGAAAATCTGAAGTACGATTTGGAGAAGTATATTGATCAGTTTGACGGTAAGGTGAGGCTGATCAGGAACGCTCAGAGGGAGGGGTTGATCAGGACTAGATCAAGGGGGGCTGTGGAGGCTAAAGGAGAAGTTATAGTATTTTTAGGTAAGAGTTTTATTTTTATTTATTTGTTTAAAATATTTAGCAATATTTTCAGGGGTTTAGATCTTGATAATTGAAGTATATTTTCTGGTTTTTGTTTTTCAAATAACTCCAAAATAAAGAGAGTTATTTAAATTTAATAATTTTATTCATTTTTTTACGCTTTGAGCGTGTCTGGTTTATGTTTAATTTTCCAATTTTTTGTGGCTTTAAAAAGTTTTATTATAAAATCATCATTACCATCATTTCTTTTTTGCTTATCATTTATCATCATCAAGATTTTTTGTTTAAATTTTGAGAAACCCTGGATCATTGCTTGTTTTTTCAAATAATTGAGAAAAATTCCAAATTTTTAATTTTTTTCGCGAAAAAACACTCATATATAGACGTGTTTCAGGGGTCTCTAAAAATATTCGCGTTTATTTGAGATTCACCGTGTATATTCTTCTACTGTTTCCCGTGTTCTGTTATTAACTGTATACAGGGTGTTCCTTAATGACATGCTAATATTTAAGGGGGTGATTTTTTGACCTACTCTAAGAGAAAAACTGCATATGCATGTATGTCCTAAACATCTTAATTTCTGAGATACAGTGTGGTAAAGTTTTCTAAAAAAAACTCTTTTTTATAATAACTCTGAACTTATTATAGATATCTTTGTCAATCTTGATACAGGTTTTTTTTGCATGAAAATACCTTTTTTGGTGTACAAAGAATTTTACTTATTTCAACCAGTGTCGTCCATACGGGTTTTACGTTGAATATTTTTGGAGAAAAAAGTGGTACACCACTGAACTCTCTTAACATAAAAATTATCTTCAAAATCTCCATTCATTTAAATTAGGAAAGACTCACCCTGTATACTCTTCTACTATTTCCAGTGTTGTGTTATTAAATCTCTATAAACCATAGAATTCTGTTCTTCACA